TGAAACTAAATGAGCTAGGGTATTTATAGTTGAAGCTTAAGGACTAATCTTGTAAATACCCTAAAGTTACAATGACTAAAATTGTGATTATACCATAAAATATTTTCAACAATTCCAGCTGCAACTTGGAATGCTTTCGGTGGAATTAATTAATGCAACCTTTTAGTGTACCAATTTTCAACAATCTCCCACTTGAAGATTTGATTGGAACAATCATATCTTCACACCATTCTTTCTACCTTGTACCTTGAATGAAATACTGGATTCCTTGCTAGATGCAAGGCACTTTGACTGTCACAAACCAGAGAGACATACTCTTGATTGTTCCCAAGCTCCTCTAATACTATCTTCAACCAAATTGCTTCTTTACTGGCTTGTGTACCTGCTACATATTCTGCTTCTGTTGTGGATGTATCCACAACTGACTGCAATTTTGAAACCCAGCTTACAGCTCCACCAGCAATTTTGAACACATATCATATAGTAGATTTGCTTTTATACAAATCTCATGTACAGTCAGAATCTACATATCCATTGATTAATGAGTTTGATCCTTCGTAACATAATGTAACATTTGAGGTCCCTTTGATATATCTCAAGATCCTCTTTACTGTATCCCAATGCTCTTTTCCTGGATTTGCCATGTATCGACTAATCACTCCCACTGCTTGTGCAATGTCTGGTCTTGTGCATATCATAACGAACATTAAACTTCCCACTGTTGATGCATACGGTACTCGAGACATCTCCATCTCTCTTCTTCACTGCTAGGACTCATACTGGAGGATAATTTGAAGTTAATAGGAAGAGGGTTAGAAATTGGCTTACAATCTTGCATGTAGAATCTTGACAAGATGTTCTTCAAGTAATTCTTTTGTGAAAGCCAAATCTTCCTATTACTTCTGTCTCGGTGAATTTGCATCCCTAGAATCTTGTTTGTTGATCCCAAGTCCATCATTTCAAATTCCCTATCCAGTTGTGCCTTCAATTCTTCAATATAATCTTTATTGGGTCCTGCAACCAACATGTCATCCACATACAATAGCAATATAAAAAAATCGTTATCACCAGACCTCTTGAAATAAGTACAAGGGTCTGCATTAAGTCTGTTGTATCCAAGGCACATAATGAAGGAATCAAATCTCTTGTACCAACACCTCGGCACCTGCTTTAGACCGTATAGAGATTTGTTCAACCTACAAACCAAGTTCTTCTTTTCGTCTTCTTCAAAACCTTCAGGCTGGAGCATGTAAATATCTTCTTCAAGATTTCCATGAAGAAGATGTTTTAACATCTAGTTGCTCTAGATGTAAGTTCAATGTAGCACACATTTCCAAAATTACTCGAACTGTTGTTAGTAGAACCACAGGAGAAAAGATTTCATTGAAATCAATACATTCTTTTTGAGCATATCTTTTGACCACCAATCTTACACGATACCTCTCCACTTGATCGTCACCATTTCGCTTGATTTTGAAGACCCATTTGTTTCCAATTGGCTTCCTTCCTTGTGGTAGTGGCACAAGGTCCCATGTATTATTTTTATGAAGGGCTTCAATTTCTTCTTGCATTGCCATCATCCATAGTGAAGCATCTGAGCTGTTTATTTGCCTCCTGATATGTTGATGGCTCACCGTCCTCTATTAAAAGGTAGTATGCAATATTACCTTCTATAACATAATCTGAGTGCCAATTGGGACGTCTTCTCATACGATCTGATTGACGAGTTATTGGAGCTTCAAAACTCTCTTGTTCTTGTTCATCATGTGTTGGTCCTGCTTCAGAAGAATCTCCTTGTTCAAACTCCTTTTCCACATGTATCTGTGTAGTCTCTGACTTTTCAGCGCTATCATCGTCTTCTTTGCTTTGTATTTTATCTTCTACAAATATAACATCCTTGTTGATAATCACTTTGCGGGCAGTGGGATCCCACAAGCGATATCCCTTTACACCATCAGCATACCCCAAGAATTTGCATTTCCTGGATTTTGGATCCAGCTTTGAAATTTCTTGGGAGTTGTACATCACGTACACAATACTTTCAAATACATGGAGGTTTGAATAATCAGTTGGTTTTCCAGTCCACATCTCTATTGGTGTCTTCAGCTCTATTACAGTTGATGGAGCTCGATTCACCAAATAACAGGCGGTATTGTCTGCTTCTGCCCAGAATGATTTTTCTAGGCTTGCATCCCTCAACATTGCTCTTGTTCTTTTTAACAAGGTTATGTTCATCCGCTCTGCCACTCCATTTTGTTGAGGAGTGTTCGCCACTGTGAACTGTCTTTTGATGCCTTTTTTTCTGCAAAAGTCATCAAATTCTTTGCTTGTGTATTCTCCTCTATTATCTATTCTGAAACACTTGATCTTATTTCCAGAATCAAGTTCTACCCGTGCTTTGAAGTTTTTGAAAGTTAAAAATACATCTGACTTCTTGTTAATAAGGTATACCCAACATCTCCTGAAGTAATAATCAATAAATGAGACAAAGTATTTTGCTCCGCCTAGGGATGTAACTGGTGCTTGCCATACGTCAGAGTGAACCAATTCTAGAACACTTTTGCCTCTAAAATTTGATGTGTTGAATTTCAACCGGTGTTGCTTACTTATTATGCAATGCTCACACAAAGTAAGTGATACATTTGTTAAGCATGGAAGTAGCTTTTGCTCCACAAGGACTTTTATTCCTTGTTCTGACATGTGTCAAAGTTTACGATGCCATAGCATTGCAGAATCTGAACTACATGAGGCTTCTGCTTCTAGCAAAGTCTCTCCCTTCAGCATGTACAAGTTTGTTGCTATCTTTTCGCCTTTCAGCACCACAAGCGCTCCACGAAACACCTTCATGATTCCTTTCCGTGTTTCAATATTGCTTGCATTATTATCCAACAATCCGTAGGATAATAAATTTTTCTTCAGGCCTTTCACGTGCCGCACATCTCGAACAACTTTAATTGTTTCATCATACATCTTCAATTTTATGGTTCCCACGCCAGCGATCTCTAAGGCATGATCATTGCAACTATACACATATTCTCCTGAGACAGGTTCATAATGATGGAACCATTCTCTTCTTGAGGTCTGTGATATGTTGCTCCCAAATCAATGAGCCAAATATCTGCAAATCTTTTTCTACCTTCCACGGTGGTTGACGCTTCACAGCATAGAGAATCTCCATCATCTGAAGTGTTTGCGGTATTGTCTTGTGGATTGGAGTTTTTATTTAGACTCCAACAATCCTTCTTCAAGTGACCATTCTTTTCACAGTTGTAGCATTTTAAATTCTTTTTGCTCCTCGACTTCGATCTACCATGTTTGTGACTGCTGCTTTGGCCACGTTCTGTTGATCTCCCTCTCATCGTTGTCAACGCTTCTTCTTGTTGCAGATTTACTTTCATGTCTTCCTTGTTTTTGCGTCAATTTTCTTCTTGTAGAACAGCAGCTGCAACGTCATCGAAAACTAGACTGGTGACATTACTGTTTGTCAAGTTGATGATGAGTTGATCATACGAATCATGTAGACTTTGAAGTAGAAGTTCAACACGTTCTTGTTCTCCTATTGTACATCTTAAGGATGTAAGCTGAGAAAATAATGTGTTCAGTTTGTTTAAGTGCTCCGTCACTGAAGTAGATTCTGGCATACAGAGAGTGTACAATTTCCTCTGAAGGAAAATTTTATTGTGCAACGATGTGGCCTCGTACAATTTGGTGAGATGATCTCATATCTCCTTAGCTGTCTTCTTCTCCTCGATGCTTGACAATACTTCATCTGCTAATGCTAGATGAAAGTTTGCCATAACATTCCAGTCCATTTCGATCCATTTGTTGTCATCTGTGAAATCTACCGGCCTTTCACTGATAGCCGCTAGACACCCGTCTTTCCTCAGGATAAACTTCATCTTCAATTTCCACAATGAGAAATTTCTCCCATTGAATTTTTCAATATCAAATTTAATTACCATAGCTTCTATTACGGATAGCTCCCACTATTTCACTATCGTGAATAGTTCTCTGGAACCTTCAAAGAATGGGTAACACCTTCTTACTTTCTTATGTTGAAGGATCCACCTTTTGATGGTAACCACAAAGACAATAAGCATATATTACACACTCAAATCTAGCTCGAATACCAATTATTGCGTAAGACGGCTATTGGATAGAGAAAAAATTTAATTGCTAATTTGAGAAAATAAAAATTGAAGATAAAAGAGACACAAAATTTACGTAGAAAACCCCTAAATAATGTAGGGTAAAAACCACGGGCAACGATAGAAGAATTTTACTATGAGAAAATAGGAATTACAACTTCTCTCTATTTACCAAGGAGAAAACAATGATAATTCTCTCTTGATAAAAAGGAGAAAAACAACTCTCAAGAAACTCTCTAAATTCTCTAGTATTGGAAGAAAGCTAGAATGCTTTGGGATAGTTTTGAGGCTAAATGAGCTAGGGTATTTATAGTTGAAGCTTAAGGACTAATCTTATAAATATTCTAAAGTTACAATGACTAAAATTGTGATTATACCATAAAATATTTTCAACAATTCCAGCTGCAACTTGGAATGCTTTCGGTGGAATTAATTAATGCAACCTTTCGGTGCACCAATTTTCAACAAATATGATATTAAAATTTTAAACAACCACAAACCAAACATAAACACCTTCAATGATAAATAAATAAACATGAATATAACTCTATTCTTTCAAATTCAATTTATATACACCTCTCACCACCTACAACCGGTGACAATATTCTTTATCTTCGGGACAGTTGAGAAAGGGTAGGAAGAGGTGCCAGCGAGACTCAATTGTAGCGTAAATGGGTATTGATGTAAGTGCATTAATAGGGAAAGGTCAAGTGATTATGTTGGTTTGAAAAATAGAGTAAGTTTAATTTTGAATAAAATTACATCACACTACCAAACAAAACATATGTGGAGTGTTTATATATATATCAAGTTAATTTTTAATTTTTTATATAATTTAATTTAGATAAAAAGAAGAAATATATATATATATATATTATATATATATATATAAGTTATTTGTTTTTTTAATTTGAAGTTTAAATATCTATTAGTTCTTCTTTATATTATAATAAATTATTTTAAAATTAATATAATGATTAAAATTTATTTAATACATAAATCGGACTAAACATAAAGATTAAGATAGAAAATTATTTTAAATTCTACACACACAAAATTACTTTTTTATACATTTATTTAATATTTAAATAAAAATAATACATCCACTTAAGAATGAAACACTAGATTCATAAATTTATATATAAGTCTTTGAACATTTTATGTATAATCATTCATTTATTAAATAAAATGTGTAAATTGTGAGAGAATATAATAAAAAATAAGTAAATTGTATGACGTAGGTTGTATGATGGGCATCAAGCAAGAGAAAGACAGTAGTCATGGATCGAGTCTATTTCACTTGGGCTTGCTTCGGGATTTGACTTGAAATCGTAAATGAAGAGAAAAGGTGAAACAGGGGTCAACCTTCGGTCAAGTCAAATTAAAAAAATTTAAGTTTATAATATTATGATACTATTTGATCATAATTTAAACGACTTTTTATAATCATATACAATACATATATATTTCTCTTTATATTTTTCATATGTAATATATTTATTACACAGAGTTAAAAGATTAGATTTAAACTTAAAAATCAATCTACTAATTATTAAAAATTTTGAGTTATCTAACTCAACTATTTAAAGTTTTTTGAAGTCATGTCAAGTTTATAAAATTTCATCTCGAAATTAATTTGAGTAAAGTCAATCCAAAAAATATCATTTTTTTATAGAGTCAATTTTTTTAAAGTAATTATATTACTTAAAAAGTAAGGGTAAACAAAACTCGACTTAAAAAATTAATATGTTCAATTCTAAAAATCTCGACTCGAATTTATTTCAAGTTATAATTTCATAAATTCGACTCAACTCGACTAGAAGAATTTTAAATTCAAATGAAGTTATAATATAGAACTCGAATGGCTTAAATAGTAACTCGAATAACTCATAATTTTTAACAATTAATAGATTAATTCGACTTAAATAGTAACTCAAATAACTCAAAATTTTTAACAATTAATAGATTAATTTTCAAGTATAAATCAAATCCTTCAACTCAGTATATACATATATAATTAAAAATAATTTAAATTATAATCAAATAATATCATAATATTATAAATACTTATAAAATTTATAAATATTTATAATTAAATTTAAACATAAACTATAATAATTCTACTGAAAAAAATTCAATTTGTTTCAAAAAAATAATTGACAAAAAAAATTCAAATCAAGTATAAATTATTAAATAAAAACTCGTTAATTTAAATAACAAAAAAAATATATAATTTGACTCAATTGAATATTTACCCTTAACAATCAGCAAAGCAAGGTATATGCTTTGAAGAAATGTTGATTTGGCTCCACTCTTTTCTATAGTATCAGAATAAGGACGTGTCTGCAGTAGGACTGCTAACTGAATTAAACATTTAGTAAATAATTCAAGTTTTATCCTATCAAAACTCAATCAATATTTAATTCAAATTAACCAGTTTAGTAAAATAAAACCTAAATTAACTCAATAAATTCACAAACAATTCGTGAATTTTTTAATTACCCTTGATTTTAAGATTAATTGTGTATTACTAAAATTTATTTTCATCAACAATTGTAATATTTTATTTGATATATTTGTAAATTATTACATTAATTATAATATATTAGCTTAATATATTTGTGGAATGTTAATAAAAAATTAGACTTCAAAATTAATTCATTCACTAATTAAATTTATAAATTTATGGCACTATGCCCTAGATATTACACAGCTTCATCTCTTGGAGAAGCTTCTTTACAACATGCGATGGGGTCGTAGGTCATGAACCTCGAAAACTATGGTGCTAGCAGCTTTGGCCAATAAATCAGCTACTCTGTTGCTTTTACCCGATGCATGTTGAAATCGAATATACCAGTTCCTTCTTAAACGAGAGTCTAAAGAAATTTTATTAACTTACCGAGTAATAAGACAAAGCACAAATTGAATAGTTTTTGAGTCTACTGGTGCCATAAACACCCTGGTTTGGGGCAGTGATTCGAACTTTTGCTGGATCGTCTTTTGTATAGACGCTAAGCTAGTTTTCAACAAGGTGTGTAGTTTCATCAGGCCGAAAGGTTGGCATGCTTCGCTAAAGGAATCAGCTTTAAAAAAAACTAACCCAAATTGAATCCAGATCTACATGCAGCAGTGGAATCAACGAGAGAGATTCTACAAATCAAATCTCAGAAGATCTGTGGAAGAAGACATGCAGATCCATGTAATAGAAACGCAAACACGAAAGGTAGGTAAGATTTACCGATCTAACTCACAAACGGCATGGATCAGAAAAGGATTGGGGGAAAAAGTAAGAAAATGGAGAGAAAGAACTGGAAATAAATGGAATGGGAGGAGTAGGAAAGATTTTACTTTCCATCTCTTAGATTTTAATTTTCCTAGAAAATTAAGTAGAACAGAAAATCTTTCCACCCCTCCCACTTCCAAAAATTCCCGATAACTCTCTCTCCCTTTCCCTCTTCAGAAAACAAACGTAGATCTTGTTGGCGTCGAGAGCTAAACCCGGATAGAGACGAAGCTCGAGGAGTTCATCGGATGGGTGGAATAGGTAAGATGATGAAAAACAGACAAGTTAATCTCTGTTTTTGATCTTGCCGTCTCCACCGCAGCCGGAGACTTCCTCACGCTTCCTCTCTTTCCCGCTTCTCCCCTTTATTTCTTCGTTCTGTGAAAACGAGGCATATTGGTTGCCTTTAAAAAGACGGGGATCAATAAGGTAAGAGACTTTTTATTTAGCTTTAGCTAATGCTGACGTATGCCCTGATACGAACAATGTCTAGAAATTTCGGAGGTAATTTACTAAAATAAATTGTAATTTCTTATCTAAATTTTATTTTTCAATTTTAGGGTAAAGTAAGTTTAATAATTAAATTATTATTTTTATTCTGTTTGATATTTAAGTTTTATTTTTAAAAAAATTATATTAAATGTTTAATATATGTTTAATTTTGACGTCATGGCGTTAAAAATTTTAAAAAAATATTTACATGATATTTTTAATTATTTTTTATGGTGACATAATATTTTTTTATAATGATGTATCAATATTATTGTTAAATTTTTAATGGTTTAATATCAAAATTAAATATTAAATATAATTTTAAAATTTTAAAATTTATATACCAAAATATAACAAAAATAATAATTTAAATATTAAATAGGTACTTTATCTTAAATTTTAATTACGCATCTTCTCGGTTAAATGATTATTTGATTTCAAATTAAAAATGATTTTTAGCTGTAAATTTAATTTTTTTAGATAATTTTTTTAGTATTATATAACTTGAATTTAAATAATATTATTTGTAGATATACAATAACTTAATTAGATTTATTTTAATTTATGTCATATTAATTTAATTATTTATAATATCATAATAGTAAATTATATTATTTGTTATTTAATTATCTTCTCATTCTTATTTTAATCTTTATATATATATTATTAATTCTTTTACGTCATAAGATGTAAAAAAAAATAAAATTTAATACAAAATCATATCTAAATCTAAATCCTAAAATATATTATAATTTTTAAATGACAACTTAATCAAAAATTAATTAAAAAATACAATTAAAATTATTATAAAAATTATAACATTTTCGATTATAACTTATTAAATTAAAAAATGTTATGTCAACCTTCAAAATTAGGTTCTTAATCAGATTTTCAATTATAATTATTTTCTACCATTTTCAGAGTATTTTAGCCCTCATTACTAGCTTCCGGGCGTCTTCTTCTTCTTTATTGATGCAATCATGCAGATGCTGATAATTTACATAATGAATCAATTCTTAACTTGTTAATCCACTTGAGAATATTCCAAAAACAATAAAATAAGATCAAAACTTCACACCTGCTTTCCAAATTTCAAATTAAATCAATAAATCAGCAGTAAATTTAGGCCTTCACCTACTCAACCCCAGATCTGGAACTTCCACTGATATCAGCTAAGTATGTTCTAATACTCAATCTATACGTTCATATCTATTAAACTACAAAACAGATCCAAGATTCTTACTTTGTAAAATTTAAGGATTTCCCTTTACCTAAAATCACAAAAAAGAGAAACACAAGCTGATCAATTCAGATCTAGATGCAAAAAGTCTGCTGAAATTAAAATCTCAGAAGATCCATGGAAGTTGACAAACAGATCTAACGTAACTTACAGATTAAACTTAAGGATCGGGTAAAAAGTAAGGAAATGGAGAGTAAGAACTGGAAATAAGTGGAATGGGAGGAGTAGGAAAAATTTTAGATTTCTTGGCTTTGAATCAAAGAGAACAAAAATTTTTCCACCCCTCCCACTCCAGGAATTTCCGGCAGCTCTCTCTCCCTTTCCTTCTTCGGAAACTTTCAAACCAGAAAAGCGATGGTAGATCTGATGTGAGTGTTTCTGGGTGAAATAGAAGAAGATAAGGAATCCATAGCCATAAGAGTATGACTTCTTCAGGACTGATTCCCTTCCCTTTCACACCTGCTTCCATTTTTTCTTTTACGAGGAGGCTTCTCATCTCTAAAGGGGGCTTAAATAGATGATGATATTAACAAATTACTCTCTTTTCTATGCTGACGGTTGCCCTAGTAGAAATTAAATATATATTTTAAAAACAATTACAATTATTTTATTAAGTAGGTGAGTATTAGATAGAAAATGATAATTTGCTCTCCTAAGTTTGAATAGTAACACAACAGTGAGAGGAGCTAGAATGAGTTGGAGCGCTATTTGTTATCTTAAATTTAAATATAGATTTTTAAATATTCGAAAAATAAATAGGCCTTTAGTCTTTCGCCCATAAGATATGGCAGAATCTCACCCAATGATTAAGCCCAAGTGTGTAAGGAATTCGTTTTCCATTTAAAAAAAAGCCGAAATTTTATTGTTCGAGTGAAACCCA